AAGGGTTTAATAAACTGCAAACAACCACATACACATATATAACACCCCCTCAGAAATTACGGTATTTTGCTTATAGTAAGCTTTTTCACTACTTTTAATTCTAAACATAAGCTTCATATCGACGTCACCCTTTGACCATCTCGCTATCGTGTAAGAACTTTCATACCTCTAAGTGCAGTATCAATAACTTTAATAGCTACTGTCATCAACGGCCAGCAATCCGAGCAAACATCAGCTCCGGAGCAGCAAAATCTTACGTCATCATAATCTGATATGTCCTGTTGTAGACAAAAACACAGGATCAAAATCTGCGTACCCTTTGATAATTTACTTCAACTGCCTTTTCAAAACAATCCTCCAAGCTAAAAATACAAAAATGAAGTGACAAAAACTACTCACTATATCAAATACAAGTTCCTTCTCCACCGGGGTGAAAACATTAGCACCCGAATATGCATTCCTATTTGCAGGCTGCAGTACAGTTCGAAAATGTTTCATTTCATCGGTAAAAAAAAAGTGAACCATATATTATAATCGGTATGAAAATTTAAACTAAATCAAGATTAAAACACATATTGCATACTTAGTGTAAACTGCGACTTACGTCCACACTGTAAACAGCACCGATGTCAATTTTAAAAGGGCATTTCTCCTTGATGGAATTTTCGAGTTCGGCGGCATTGTTAAACGATTGATACCGCAGATATATATCTTTATCTAAAGAGAAAGAAAATTCTCTTCTTCCAAAGTAAGATTGATCACAGCCAGGATGCTTTCCATCTGCAAAAAAAAAAAAAAAAAAAAAAAAAAAAAATTATCGACATTTGTTAGAGAAAACAAAAAGGATGTAGATCTAATGAACAATGATTACCGTTTCCATACGACATCCATTTATGCATATCACCATACGGAAAAAATCTCCCTGCACCGATTAAATTAAACCGAATAATTAATTTTATTAATTAACTGTATACTGAAAACCAACTTCGCAGTAAGAAAGGAGATAAATTTCCGAGATAGATCTAACAATTAAGATCATAGCATAACTTAATAAAAAAAAATATTTATATATATAAACATTACCGTAATAAATCTTCAGGTAATTAGGGTTGAATCCATCGGGAATTTCATGGTTTCGCTTTCGATCTGTTTCAACTCCATCAATCGCCATGTCCGTATTCATGTTCTCAGCTTCTTCTCTGACCATCTCTGAACAAACTCAAACCTTCCGTAAGAGAATTGGGGGAGAAATGAGAAAATGGCGGCAAAATTACTGCGTTGGGGGGCAGGGTTTTGGCGGGAAGAGTGCCTCGACTGTTTCTGGGTTTTGGCCTTTGGGCTTTAATATTGGGTTATACTTGTATGTGGCGAGGCCCAATATTTATTATAGTAATAATAATAATAATAATTAAAAATAAATAAAGAAATAAATAATAATAATTAATTAGTTAATTAATTAACATTTAAGTGGTGCTCCTTGCCGCATTGAAGCAAGTGCATTGGATATCGATGTGTTCACGTACCATCTTATCAATTTGGACCACATAACTTCTCATGGCAAACCTTGTGCTTCACAAATTATACCAAATTTTGAGGCTACAAAATGTGGCTATTTTTTTTTTTTTTCCTTCAAATAAATTTAAAATTTTATCAGGGTTGTAAACTACATTAGGCGAATTCTACGATACGAACTCGATCTTAAATGTATTGTCAAAGTAGATTAACTCAAATTAGTACAATTTCACGCTTACGTAAGTTTTGGATCCAAAATTATTGTGGATTTTGAGTTCATAGTTGCATTAGTCCAATCTCGACATTTTAGATCCCAAAATTTTACTACATGACACATAACATTAAACAACAGATGCTTTCAGGATCATTGAGATGTTACACTTGGTCAAATACAACGAGTGATTTTTAACAATTGATGTGGTGAAATAATTTACTATTAGACACACATACACATGGAAGTATGTGTAATTCTGTGCATACCAATAGTTAATAATCATCTGATGTATTTCGCCGAATGTAGCATCAAATAAACTGTGCTTTTAGTTAGTAATAAAACAAATTTGGAAGAAAAATAAACTCAAGTGATGCATCTATAGGGAAAAAAGATATATGAACTACATTGTTCTAGTAAGTGATGTATGTCTAAAACAACATTATGAATTATAATGAATTACATTGTTCTACTAAATACATCTCGATTGCTCAACCCAACTCTATAACCTCGAAATTAATTAATATTAATAAAAAAATTAATTAATTACCTAATTAAATTGCAAGAACATCCCATATTAACTCAGCGTCGTACGACGGTAACCTAGCAAGCGAGCACTCCTCAATCTCCGGCGCCACGGCGGCGGAGCACCACTCCCCGGAGGCGGACCCCGCGGAGTCGTACCCGCCGCCGCCGCCGCCGCCTCTCCAGAACCCATCTTCCTCAGAAACACCAGCAGTACTCCAGCTCCGATCACCGTTCGCCGCCGACGACGACGGAGGAGAATAAGAAGAAGAGTCCGTTTTCTTCACCGCCGTACTCTCACTCCCACCGGAATAGTTACTGACCTCCGGCGATTTCTTGGCGGCGGCGGCCGACCTCTGAGATTTCTTCTCCCTCTTCACCTTCTGGCAAATGGCCTGAATCTTAGCGTCGACGGCGCTCCTCACGGCGTCGAGCCTCGCCCCGTCACCGAGCCCGATCCGGGTCGGGTCACGCAAATTCGGGAAGTTCAGGCGGGCGTACTCGCCGCGGAGCTTGTACGCCGCCCTGTCGTAGGCGTAGGCGGCGGCCTCCGCCGTGTCGTAGGTACCGAGCCACACCCTCATCCTGTTCTGCGGCAGCCGAATCTCCGCCACCCATTTGCCCCAGTGCCGCTGCCTCACCCCCCTGTAAAGCTTCTTCTTACTCGGGCTGAAATACGTCTGCAGATGACCCGGTTGCCTAACCGGGTCGGATATCAGCGTCTTCCGAATCGACGGGTTTTCGTCGGAAAATTTCTGCAGCAAATCTCTCTGCCTCAGATACACCGACGAACCCAACGGCTCGAAGGGTTGACTGGTCAACGGATTGGATTGCTGGCAGTAGGAGAAGATGGAATCCAAGGTGGTGTTTGAATTGCTGGATAAAATTATCTGTGATAATGATAATCCAATATGAGAAGCGCTTTCACCGTTAAACGAAACACGACTTTCTTGAATTCTCGCCATTTTTCGTTGGATGTAAAAAACACGAGAGAAAAAAAACAAAAGACAGGGTGCTGAATGAAAAAATTGTCCCTTTGGAGCTAGAAATATTATTACAGAAAGTCAGAAGCAGATTTTTGTAAGGAAAAGAAAATGTTGTGAATGTTTTTTGTCTGAACTATTTTTTAAGGCTTTGGATATATTAATGGTGTATTTATAGATGCAGGGGAATGGATCTTTATTTTTTTATTTTCCCATGCTATAGCTAGTTTATAAGTTCACATTCATGATTCAACTTTATCTTTATCTTCAACCGAAATGACTATATTACCCCTAAACTCTCAGTATAATATCTCGTGAATCATACTAGAGATGTAAACTACACTGGACTAATGATGTGTGACAAACTCGATTTAACGATCGTTGACAATCAAGAAATCCGAACTTGGATTAATTGACACAAGCTCACCTGCTCCAACTGCGAAACCATCCCTTCTAGGACATCTATTTTATTCAATTTACGAGTGCCAATATTGTTGTTTTGCAATTTTAATCGTCATTAATTCATCTCTGCTTCCGGTAAAAACCCTTTTGAGCCTAAAATATAAGACAAAATCCTATATATATAACAGAATGATTTAACCATGGATCAAATAACAGCCAAATCATTAAAAATAGATGCATGTCGTGTGTGTCTATATATATATATATATATATATATATATATATATATATATATATATCACCCTGGAATGTGATATTTTGTTTGGTGGGACTGATCACCACACGGTATAGAGCCAAGTTGATCTGGTTCGTACTCAAAAAGTCTCTTTACGAATTTATTACCACTTACTATTTGGGAAAAATGAGTCGTCCTATTTTTTTTTTAAATTTTTATTTATTTATTTATTTTTTAATAAAGTTAAGAGGTGGTTTTGTGATCATGTGTCAACGAATGTATCGGTGCCACGCGTACCTGTTATGGTTGAGATTAATTATAAAATTAGCAGAATCTTTTTTTTTTTTTTTTTAATTACAAAAATGGTACTTCGTTTTGTATTTATTTCAATTAATGTATAACAAACACTACAAGTGAGGCGAAGTGAATTTGTTAAAAGTAGTGTGTTCGAACTCGATCGAATTTTTTTTGAAGGAAATATCTATTTAGATGAGAATCTTACTCGAGTGACCGTAAATTTTTTTTATAAATAAATAAATTTAAGAACAGTTAAATTAGCGTTTACAATTAAAAATTGCGTTTAAAGAGTTGGGGTAATTTGTTATAAATATAAGGTCGGACTTTGTTTGTAATACATGTTCATAAAATGTGTTTACTGTCAGAAAGAAAAAAACACTTGAAACTGTATTAATAAAAGTGCGTAATTAGAGACATTTTTATAAGAACTCCAAATATTTATCTTATAGTGAAAATTATACAATCATTTTTTTTTAGTAAATAGCACTTAAGCCCCGTATGGTTTGGCTCCTTTGCACATGCATCCCTTATATTTTTAATATAACACATAACCCCCTACTTGAAAATAATTATGCTCATCGAAAAGAGAAAACTTTTAAAAATATAAGGGGCTTATGTGCTTATATGAAAGTATAAGGAGTAATATGCAAAGGTATCAGACCACATGGGGCTTAAGTGTTATTTACCTTCTCTCTTTTTTCCCCCTCCATTTCGGAATATCAAAACGTGGTGCGATCTAGCGCTAAATTAATCATAACACCGCGACTATTTTTCATTCAAAACTCGTGCTAATAATAAATAGAGAGATTATTCGTAAAACTAATTGCTTCACGAAATTACTTTGCTACCGAAAATTGTGAAGACAAAGCTTTATGGGCAGACCTAATATTTCAAACGCCATCGCAAAGCATGAAACTCTTATTCATCATAATACCAAATGTTGACATTACGTTTAATTTTCATGAAGCTAATAAATTTATTACCCAAAATAATAATAAAGAAATAAATAAAAAAATTCTCAATGCATGCAAAATTGTAGTAATAGCGGACCCACACTTGCACAAATTTGTACAAGCAAAGTAGTGTGAGGATCCAATAATAAAGATATTGCAATGGGCTTAAATGACTTTGTGGCTAACTCTTTAATTCCACGTTTCTCTTCGCGATTAGGCACCTATATCGTGCACAAAAAAAAAAAAAAAAATCGTGTGTAATTCATTATAACTATTAAATAATTATAATAGGAAAATATATATCATTGAATTTATTAGCGATATTTGAATTACAGTAAAATATCAGCATTCACACAAATCTGATAGTACTAAAACATTTCGCAAAAATATATATAAACTTAATTGTTATAAAATGAAATTGATCGTTAAAGGAATGAAGCAATTAATAGAGTATAAATTTAGAGAAGATAATAAAAAGAATGAACATGTAACATTAACTAGAGAGGTATCGTTGAAAAATAGGAGATCAATGTTGAAAGGATTTTGCATGGGTAAGATTAGTCAAAATAAGATTAAATAAATTAACAAAAACTCAATTATTTTATCGATCTCTGGAATGCCCAATAAAAAAACGTCATAAAAAGCAAGATAAACTATAAGAATATAATATTTGCGGGTCGCGACAAGTTACTGGGATACCAAATATCAAACAAGTGAAATTATTTAGTTAATAATAATTAATCTTGTCAAACAAATCGATGCTTTACAATATTCTCTTCAACTTAATTAGAAAGATAAGAGCCTCTAAACCAAGTAACACGTGGCCACTAATCAACCAATACTATTCCAAGTGGGGCTATAAATGAATATGGGAAAAATATATATAAGAAGAATTCAAGAAAATGAAATTAAATTAGCAAGTGATTAGTGATAAACCAATTGGGGGAGGGACCATTAAATTTAGTTGTATGTGCATTAAATGTGTAAAGGCAAAGTTTCAGATGAAAGAAAAATCAAAAAAGAATAAGATGTGTGCATTTGCTGCTGGCCTTTACAACAAAGACATGGCTCGTGATAGCCCAATTACATTTTTTCCCAAAGTCTCTTTTTCGTGTATATATGCATGTGATGTATATACCTAACTATCCAAAGTCAAATCCAAAAAAAATCCCTATTTCTTATATAATAAATAAATATATAAATATGATATATATGCATGTTGATATTTTGTATGGGTAAATTACAAACACCCCCTGAGGTATGGTCAAATTACAAAAACCCCCCTCTTGTTTGGATAATTACATCTACCCCTCAACTATGAT